TTTACTTCTCTTCCTGTAAAGTCATTCCGCCAATATTTGCAAGCCCAAACAATCAGGTAACAGTCATTTCAACACTATCACCATGCAAGCGAAGCAAAATTTGGACCATAAAAGCCTTGATTTGAGTAAACAGATTTAATCTGCTGTATCAGAGCCTTGATCTTGGCCATTCCCATAATGGTCTTCCTGGTTTAACTATCGCATAATCGTCTAGTGCATAATAGTTAACCCGGGGAGATAAAAGTAAAGGTTGTAAGCTCTGATTCGCATTGCAAGGTCTAAACAATGCCCTACAGTGTAAACAGTGGATGTGTCGTGCTACTTTATGGGACCACTTGCTTAAACCGTTGATCACTAACCTTTAGTGTTGATGTTGACATGGATAGGCAGTGAAAAGTAAGCCTTCATTGTAAAGCTCGAATTACAGGCAAGTATGTTGACGTATTAAGATTGGTGAACACTTACAATAAAAACACCCATTTTGCAAGCAAAAGAATTGCATGATTGAATGAGTCATGAAAGAGTCTGCAAAATGTGCGATTTTATTTCGTTTAATATGCAGTAAACGCTAATTGGTTTTATTTACAACAATTCAATGTACCTAGATCGAGTAATTGATTCCATAATTAATAAACCCATCTTAAACAAATCTATGATTTTTCTTCTTTGCTTAGATACGCCACGGCTCATTAGAATTCTTGCTTTGTTCTCGCTACTTTGCATCCTTCCTGCAAACCCAAAAAGGACGACTATTTGCACGCAAGATGATTAGTCTAGGGCCTAATGTTTTGCCAAGAAAAAAGGAGAAAACGGAAATCCCTTTTGCAGACGAAAACCGCTTGGATTTTGCCTCTTTGCCTTCTCCTTTTCTTTGCACTGTCCTCCCCATTAATCTTCCACAAATGGTTGGCTAAGCAAAGCCCACAAACAACAACACCAACAACGACGACAAATATTGTGGCTTTTTCGGAAAATTAGCAATCGTGATTTTGTGAACTTCACCAACAAAATCAATAGAGTAAATTCAAGCCATTTCAATTCTTTCTTGCAAACTGTCCATTAAAGGCCAGGAAAGGCAATATTTGAAGTGAAGCTGCTGCAGCCCTTGAAATATTCCTGTTTTTTATCCTCGTGAAGTTGCCTTCTCCTGGCTCATTTCCAAACACCCTATAATACCTCGGAAACCACACCTTTCGCCCCTCTATCGGCAGTCACCTAGCAGCCCAGTCCATCTAAGCCGTGTTCCCATCTTACTCCTGCATATCAACATATAAAGACGCCTGTGTTTGAATCCATTTCATCTCATTACTTTGGTTGGAAGAACTTGGCAGGATCCAGGCACAGGAGTCAGCCCAAAAGCCAGTCTATAACAAATTGCTTCTAAGTTGCAAACCCCGCTTATGTTGCCATTTAATTGATTTATCCTCATTTTATTTCCAAATTTTGCACGGAATGCGAAGGCTGTGTGGCTAATCCAGATCTACTTTGGCCAGTAAAGCTAGTTGGAAATGGTGTTTTTCAAAGAAAACGTGGTGCATTTAAATGAATTTGATCCTACAAATCAAGTTCATTAATGTGCTAATCATGGGTTGCATCGCCGAAATAGGCGACTACAGGTGCGATGATAACTCATCCTGATGAAATTTGATGCTGCGTTTGATGCTACACAATGCGGCACAGGTGAAACCCAAGACCCCGTTCCTGCGGCAATTGTCTTGAAACCAACGATGAGTGTAGTGTGATGATTGCGGCACATTGATTTCTTTTCCTCAGCTTTATTCTCGTGAAACAAGAAAGTCGAAAATCTGCAGCGCTTTAGAAAGACCATAGTCTTCTTTGCTGCCTCTAATACCTTCTAGAAATCACCTAAGATATCATAGACCTCCTCCTGACTCAAACACAAATACATGATGGAGGAACGTACAATGCAATCCAGGACTTGTTCGTCCTCTTACTTTCTGATACATGTCAGCTAGAGCCTCCTTTGTGTTTAGACCAGTTCAGGCGTGAGACGAAATGTGCAGTGAGTAGGCGGAAGGAATGAATGCAGTGGTGGAATCTTTAAACACGTTTTAAACAGTGATGGCACATTCATTCGCTCAGCAGTAGCACATTCCAGCAAAGGACAGAAACGTCCCTCTTGCCACCGTTTGTCGCCAGTGATGATCCCAGGCATTCGCTGTTCCTAACTCACAACACACCCCTCAGTTCTAACAACCAATCTCAGCATGTGCAATGCTTAAACCCAAGCGTCGGATTGAGGCGCTACTTGCCATTGTGAGGTTGTACAAGATAATTCTTTTTGCGGCAATAGTGGACACGAAAAATCACAATCACTTGCACTGTTAAACAGATGCCACACACTGATTAGAAAGCCGCTCTTAAGCAGATTATAGGTAGCAACTAATCTTCCCATGCCATAGATTTGCTAACTCGGCACCTCAAATTTTGTCTTATTTAATCATAGGCCCAATAGATCCAGTTGCATTTAAGCGTCCCTCTAAAAGGACTTACTTAACTTCACTAAAAACCCCTCTTCGCGCCTACGGTGCAAAACGTCATTCTAACACCACAACATAGATGGTGTACTAAGGCAATATTAGTAATTCAATAAATCTGCAAAATCCTACCACCAAACCACGTTTTGCTAAAATTGCAAAATGGCTCCAACAATGTATTTCCATAGCAGAGTATTCTATGTCCAAAACATAGCTAAAAAAATGGTGGTTTATTTGCTGATCCATATTAATGAATGATTCCACTCAAGATGGAAAGACACTACTTCGTCGATGTCTGTTGTATATTCTTCAAATTGTGACTTCAAGCAGTCAGAAGCTTTTCCAGTTCATTTCCTTAAAGAGGCTCTAGACAACTGGAGAATGCAATTAATTGGCTTTCCTCAAAATTAAGCCCCATGACTGTCCAGATTTGAGTTTCTTACGACTTCCAGTCTTGGAGGTCTTTAAATGAGACACCGAAAACAAGTTCTGAAAACCGTAAACTTGGTATCTAGAGATGTGGAAGTTTTGATAAACCAGCGAAGCGACCATAAAAGGTTGTTGGCTTTTTAAGGAATCCTGTTCAAGAGGATTGGTCTTGTATTAGTCCAGCAAAGGCCTCACGCATTTTTTACGACATTCTCCATGCATTGTTTCATGCGAATCAGAAGTCGGAGACACCAGAAACCAGCAGGAGACGGAGCTGTAGATGACTTCATTCCCCCAACAACTGGTTTGGAGTCACATTAGATCATGGTCTCAGGTGCGTCCCAATTTTACAAGCATCATCGTCAAGGTCGGATTGAAAGAGCTAGCGACCGAAAGACTACCGTATTTCAGCACGATGTCCAACCCTCTATGCATACCCCACGATTCATTCACTTCAAGATCAAGTTTGGAGTAGTTCATGCTCTGCGTTTTATCATCACCTGAAGAGTTGTTGACAAGCACCTCAACAGTATCACTGGTTCATCGCTAAGAGCGTATAGGTCAAGAACTGATGTCGATTTAAAGTGGCCTAAGCTTGCCTTGTAGAAAGTCTCTCAAGGTGGATATTCAGATTTAGATGCGATAGTCCACATCCATTTGTCAGTAGCTCAATGTGAGTTAGGCTAGTACATTATTTCGACTGTTTGCAAATTGCTAATGTAAGCATTGTCGTCAAGGTGGATATTAATTTTTGTGTCAACGGTTACCCCTGCATAGCCACAGCCACACTCGTGCATACATGTTTGATTACGTGTCGTTTGATGACAAATTGCGCCAGGAATCCATCGAGATCTTGTAAATAAAGGACTGTGCTACTTCACAAATGACAGAGTAGCTGAACAAAGTTTTTGCAAAGCAAAATAAGGGGCAAGCTTTGAAGGTAATTAAAATAAGACTCTTTCTAGCACTTTTGATTGGTTCACTCCACTTGAATGGGGAATACACGCTTGTGTCTGCCATCGGTCACCTCCACGAAAATAACTTTAACGTATCCTACGCCTTCTGAAAAGGTCATGACTCAAGAGATGAAATTCTGCTTCCCACTTTGGTGCCCATGTTGTGTGAGGAACCCCAGCTACAGAAATTGAATCGCGGCATAGCTCCGCCTACATCACTCCAGCGCTACTAAACTCTGACACTTTCAAATTGTCAAGATGAAGCTAATTAGGGACTTTTGTGTTCTTTACCAATCCAATTTGTTTCTCACGTTTGTGGAGATTTGGCTGAATTCTGCCTATTTTTGATTTCACCGGATGGAGGCTCCAAGATAAAGCCATAAGAGAAGGTGGTTTCTGGGGAAGGTAAAATCGACACAAATTTATAACATCCAGACTGTTGAAATCTTGCCGAACCCCATATTGAGCACTGGAGAAGAAGGACGAGGCTGGAACAAATCTAAATCCCTTTGTATAAAATGATTGGTCTTCTAAACAAATGCTCCTCTGAATGGCTATTGGAGCAAAGTATCGGCAACCACTAGGCGATACAGAGCCAATGAGATCCCCCTCTTCGCGAAAACTAGAACAAGGGTTGTACTGCTGATATTGGGACCGAATGCCATCTCGCCTTTACATGAAGTGAATGATCGCTGTACCTAGCTCCTGAGTGGTTTTGAAGGCCTCAAATACATTGCGGTGGTCCAAGTAGAAGAGACCAACGTGATCACCTCGTATTCCCCTTGGATGGGCTAATGGCCAAGCCCATTAGCAATCTATCCCCTTCGCGCATTGGCATCGAACCAATTTCCCTACTGGTAAAGCTTATGGCGGTTTCCGATGTCTCGGGACAACGCACTTCACTTGTTCTCAAGTAACCATCACAGATTTAAATCTGAAGAAAATACAGTTTGTAGTCGGAACTAGTAACGCCTAAGTTGAGCAGCTAATTTTATTTCTGATTGGAAAATCGAAGTTAGAACTCTCGGAGTTCGTTCCCTTGTGAACCTGACAAAAGGTGGCCTTCTTATCAATTAGCCTTTATTCGTGAAGAAAGGAGGCTTTTACATTTGACAAGTTAATCAGCTTCGCTCTTGAGAGTTTCGATGCACTCAGCCAATTTCTCCCGGATTTTGCTGCTGGCTAAAATAGAAAAAAGGCACGAAGTTGTCTTTTTGCGGAAAAAGCAAAAACCTACCATCTTTCATTGTTTCATTCCAGTCCTTTACGACTTTAACTATTTTCTTTCCCAACGCGTCTTCCTGAACGAATGTATAGGTACATTCCAGCCTCTCTTTAATGCGTTTCACAACGTCCCGCGATGAACCATCCCTGAAGAAGAAGAAGAAGAGCTTTTGCATTAGAGCACTTAAAAGATATTGCAAAGGATCATGTAGACACTCAAAATGGGGACCCACTCGGCTGAAACTGCCACTACAAAAAGCGTAAGAGCAAGGATCAGAATGTAGGCGCGTATTTCAAAGGGTCTCCAGCTACGATTGTGGTCAAAACCGCCTTTTGTATGACCGACACAGGAGTATGTTTATCGTACGTTTCTCGGCCTAAGTGCCCTCGATGCATGCACTGCCGTTGGTCACTTACTTGTCAACGTCTTTACAGCTAGCGCCTTTTCGGTGTGTGAAAGGAAGTGGATAGTGGTATTCCTCTTGGTACACATCTATCTGGGTCTTTCAGTCGAAAAAACAGTTGTAATAGGTACTTCCATACCATCGTCAATTGTACGTCGTTTTAATGATGCCATCAAAGCCAGTGCCTTTTGTGCCTTCCACATACCCTCCCGTAAGCTCCACTTCTCAAGTCATGACGAACAGTGAAATGAGATAAAAGTATGAGGAGCTTATGGAAAGTGCACAAAAAACTGAGAACAGTAAATGATAAGTGTTGAA